TAACCATTTAATCATTGTTAACAACTTTCAGAAATTTAAACAATTTACAAGTGTTTTTTGGTGATACTCTTACTCCCCATGCAGATATTGTTTCTGCAATTATGAGTGAAGTGATAATCACTTCCTAGTATGGAATTGAGACAGTGAAGTCATAGATCTTTGTCTCAGGTTTCAGAGGCCCCTTTGGCATACTTGCAGGTGTTGTGAACCTGACAGCTCATTTCTTGTCAGGAAATGACATTCTGTAACTGGCTTTCCTTTCCAGATCCCTAAAAGAAATTGAATATGTTTTAGGATGTGGATTAAGAAATAGCATTTGGGTAAAATAATTTTGCTGGCTGGGTTGGACCCATTGATGTGGATCAAGGCTGTCCCAGGGAGAGAAGCCTAAGGTGTCCTAGCCTACATGCTGATCTGTATAACCCAATTCATATCTAAAGTTATACGATGACACAATAACCAGACCCCACCTGCACTGATACCATTTTAATGACTTTTTACATCATCTTTTCTTTGTCTAGTAAAAATAAGTCACAAACCTATGCCTTATAAATTTAGCCCTCTCAACACATTGCAGCTCTTCAGTGCCCATGGGTCCTGTCCCCACGCGTGCAGCCCTTCATCACCTATAAGTCCTGCCCCCATGCCATTTTCTGAATAAAACAGCACTAGTACCAGACCTTGAGAGTCCAAGAAATCTTTCTTTCGACTCCTCGGCTCCCCGAGCCTGCATCAACATCACTGATTATACCAACAGGACAGATGTTTTCCGAGGCAATCAGAGGCAGAACATCACTCATGTTCACCAACTTCAGGGCCGCTGAAAATCTTCCCCGTCCTCCATCTTTCTGTCCCTGCTGGAGTCTTCTCTCTTATCCCTAACCAAACATACTAAAATTTACAAAACCAACTCTAAAGCTGCAATCTCCATGTATTTGAAGAATAGCTAGATATCCTATATTTCCTCTCAGCTACAAGTACACACTTTGTGCTACAGTAATAGTACATGGTATGGCGTTTTCATTAGGTCTGTAGCTTTTTGGAGCATCTGAAATCATGTACTTTAAAGTTATCTGTGTTGGGTGGCAGATAAATGTGCGTGCATCTGAAACCAGCAAAAGGCCAGTTTGATGAGTAAGCATCTAGGTACTAAAGTGTTTTCCTTTTTGCAATGACTGATTATAGCTTTTAGCTGTTTAACCCGCCCATTGTTAACTGTGCTGTTTAGGCAATATGCTGTCTGACTCCCACGAGGCTCATCTCCCCTGAGCCTGGTCACCATGGTAATGGGTGTGTGAGCTTCCAGGAATTAGAACTCCTTGTCCACTTCAGGCCGGTTGAGACCACCAACTCATCAAGTGGGCCCACAAAGATGTCCAATAGGCAACCTTTTGATGTCAAGAGGCTAAAAACTCCACCCTCAGAGCATGCTAACGCTGCCATTTTGCAAACATGGGTCCTATGAAGAGGGATGGTCTGACTACGCTTGCACAGATCATCAATCAACTACCTCACCTCTCCTCACCTCCAATCATCTATCTCCACATTTCAGACCACCTTGCTTCCTATCCCGTAAATGTCCCTGAGTTCCTATTTTCGGGGAAGTGAATTTGAGGCTCACGCTCTCACCTCGCACATGGCTGCCTTGTGATTAAACTCTCTCTGCTGTGACCTCATCCTCTCAGTGTTTGGCTTTCTGGGCAGCAGGCAAAAACGAACCTGGTTTGGTAACACTTCCCCTTTAAGAATATCCACGCAAATAACCAATAGCCATTTCACAGAAAAGAGAGAGAAGGTGAATTTTACTTGAACTAGGAAGGCAGTCTCCACAAGGGAGAAAGCATTCCAGAGAAATGTGGTTTGCAGCACGATTATACACCATTTTGGAACAAAAAACATACATCAGTCATGACAGGGATACATGTTTTCAAAGTAATGTGGACAGATTTTGGGGACCCGTCTCCCTGATCTAGCAAGCAAACTGCACAGGCTTCAAATCAGTAACATAAATTCCATGCTGTTGTTGATGAAAATAATCCATAATCAACCTATAAATGAAAATTTGGGAGAGTTTATTCTGAGCTAAAATGTGAGGACCATGGCCCAGGGCCTTTCTTCCTTCAGGAAGAAAGGGCACCAAAGAAGCGGGGTGCACAGAGTGATCATATACCCCCAAAGAGGATGTTTCACATAGGACTGAAATGTCCCTTTTACAATAGTCACAAGACTGCTCTGTCGGCACAGCGATTGATGGACACAGCAGGTAGGTCTGCTGTCTCAGTGGACACAGCAGGGTGGCAGGTCTGTTGTCTCGAGCTGGTTGGTCACAGGTGAGCTGGGTGGTCAAAGGTGAGCACAGCAATCAGTTCCTAGCCTAAGGAAAGATGCTTATCCTTAAGGAAATGCCAATGTTGGGGGGAAGCTGCACCTTTACCTTAAGGCCATTTGTTCTTGCCATAGGAAATGTTTAAAGCAGATATACAATGCATGCTCAATGGCCATGTCAGGCCCTTTTGGAAAAAACAAAGTCAGGCCGAATTAGGTTTACGCCAAGTGGCTTCCTCATATACTCCAATACATCCTATTGCTTGACATTTCTATTTGTCACTGTACTGTGAAGCAGCTGTGCAGGCCACTGTTACCAAGCAAGGGCTCTCTTTCTACCCATGTGCACAGAAGCTGATACTGTGCACACCAGTCTTTGAGGGAAAAAACAGTTTATTATTACTGGTAATGGACTGGTAAGGCGACAGAAGGATAGTCTCTCAACTCTGTCTCCCTGATCCAGGGTATAGGGTAAGGTTTAAGGGACTAGGGAGCGCAGGTTGGTATGCAGAAGCACTGGCAGGATGAGTTTCAATCGCCTCTCCCCTCTGTGCATACTCCTGGTTGTCTCGCAGACTCTGAAAAATAGCCTTAACATTCTGTAGTTAAGATGAGGTCAGCACAGTAAACAATGGCAGAGTTGCTAGGTAGATTTAAGTCATTCCCTTTTCTACTGATAAGAGTTTCTAAAGATTTGGTGGTCTGGCTCAGAGAGCAAGGCACCCTTACAAATGGAAATATGTCTTATAATGTAAATTTCCCCTACAAATGGGTAACTTCTATTAGGTTTTCAGAGCTTTTTCACTGTGTCAGCTCTTTCTGAAAAATATTCAGCCTAAAATAATTCTTATGCCAAAGAGGCATATTTTGGGGTGCCAAATTCTGCTCCTGGTCCTGTGGTACACCATCTTCAGCCTGTGTCAAAATGACCTCGCAACCCACACTTCATGATGGAAGACAGCAGCCGGACACATCCACAACAGGAAAAGATAAAGGGGTACCTCACTCTCACATTTCCCAGCTGCAATTCTTAGAGATGGAGGGAATAATTAATGACCCTGGTCCTTGCCTCCCTCCATGCATAGATAACGTCAGCATCTCTGAACTTGTTTGATGTATAACCAAGAAATTCTTATGTTACCTTCAACGTAGAATCTAGAGAAAAGCCCAGATGTACTCAATCCCCCTTTTTTGGACATACATGAAATCTAGCTCTAAGTTTTTTTTTTCCTTTTCCTCTTGCCCACACTTACACTCTTTTGTGAAAGAGATATAAGCTGCACTTAAACTCACACAGCCAGGAGGAATTCCATCAGAACACTCTGTTGAGTTTTTCCGGGGTTCAAATTCCTGATGCTGATTATTGAATAAATTCCTTTGCTAATATCACCTGGACTGTGACGAGGATCAGGGGTGCCCCGGCCCCAGGGACAGAAGTGCAAGATGTCCTGCCCTACATGCCGATCTACATCATCCTCTGGGAAGCATAGGACGTCCTGACCTGATTTCTATCGACAGTTATAGGACCACCTGATAACCAGACCCCACCTGCACTGATACCATTTTAACGAGTTTTTCATGATCTTTCCTTTATCTTGTAAAGAAATAACTCACATACCTATGCCTTGTAAATTTAGCTGTAACCCTCAACACATTGCAGCTCTTCACTGCCCATGGGTCCTGTCCCCATGCCTGCAGCTCTTGCTGCCCATGGGTCCTGTCCTCGTGTATTCTCTGAATAAAAGAGCACTACTACCAGACCTTGAGAGTCCAAGAAATCTTTCTTTCGACTCCTCAACTCACTGAGCCGGCATCAGACCCTATTTCAGTCGACAGCCACGAGTAGATATTTTGCTGCAGTTTAGGACGTACACAGCTGGTTAACTTTACCTTGGTTTCTGGGAAGAAAAACTATCTTCCAAAGAACCCTAGTATTGAGGTCAGAGGGCGTGCGCCCCTATCTTCAAAGACTGCATCCTTTGGTTTGGGATAGTGAGTTAAAGTAGGCGTACAATGTATGTCTGTCAGGCCATAGTCAGGCAGCTCTGAACAAAATAAAATTCAGGCCAAATCATGTTTAAATCAGAATAGCTTCCCCATTAAAGGGAAAATGGAGTCACTATGGACAATTAGACCCGAGCAGTTTCTCGGCAGACATGACTCAGCATGTCCACTGCAGGCAGGGAATGCGCCAAACCGTGTATGTAAACATATCTATGCAACCTGCACTGGCTGTGTACCACTTTTGTGTGGAAGTCATATAAAAACGGCCGCAGGAGAAGCCATGGGGCTCCTTCCCCATGTGGGTGGAAGAGAATAAAGCATGCCTAAGAGAATAAAGCATGTCTACACTGCCATCGGCTCCGCACATCTTTTTTCAACTCTCCAAGCCCTACGGTCCAATCCTCCGCCGCTCCCCTCCTGCATACACCCATATACTCTCTATTTTAAATCTTTCTTATATCAAGAAGATGCCAAGCCCCACATTCCAAAGAGCTCTGGTCACTTTTTCTCAGCGTCCCAACGCAGCTCCCTAGCTGTCCATCAGGAGATTGGAAATGGGTCCGGGCCCCTGCTGCACGCAGGAGAGAAACTACATTATCCAGAACTGCGTGCGCGGTGGGAAGCGGTGGGAATGGACCAATAAGGGACGGGGAAAAGGTCTCGTGCGTCCTGCCCTGTTGGGCGGGACTTCCGGCGTCTTGGGCAGGTTCGTTCTTTTCAACGTCTGCGGTTGTTCGCGCACGAGCTCCCCGGGCAGGTGATACTTCAGCGCCTTGCGGAGAAACGCCCAAGGAGACGAGAGCCACGCCCGTGTCTTGTAGGACCGGCGGGAGGGTTCGAGTGACCCGTCTTGGGCGCTGCTGCGCACACAGACTTCCATGACGGTGCTGGCAATCATGGACCCGACACAGGTGTGTGGAGGGTGTCCGAGATCCCTACCCGCTCGGACCCCTACCTTGACTGTCCGGCGTCCTGATGTGGGAGATGCTATCCAGGGGGGTCTTCACCTTCCCCTCGGTGCCATTGGGTCTGCAGGCCCTGGCATGGAGTCACTCGGAGCCCATGGTATGGAATGCGGGCTGGAGTGTGCATGGCGAGGTCCTCATTTCTGGCAGTCACCGGTTTGCGGTGTGGAAGAGGGAATGTAGCTTCTCAGAATCTCTCCAGTGCGCGCAGTCCGCATGGACCTTCCCGCTGGATGGGACAGGGCTGCTGAGTCCTCAGTGTGGATTCTGCCCTCACCCATCCCAGGGCTGTGACCTCTCCAACTTCCCTGCCTAAGCTGGGCCTCCATTTCGTCGGGTGTAGAATGGCAGTGTTAACAGTTGTTCTCTTTTGGTTTAGGGAACTGGAGAGGGAACGTGTGTTATGTGCTTCTGTTCCCCAGCACTGCCCGGGGAACAGCTTTGTCTGCTGTGTTGCCAGGGAGCCGCGTTCCTGGGTCCGCCATGATGTTAGGGGCTCACCCCAAGAAGAATCTGGCCCATGGGCCTTCCTGGGCTCTAACCTCTACACAGCTGATGAGTCGGGTGGGAAGGGGAATAGCCCGGGGGGAAAGGTGGGTGGGAATAACGCGTTTGGAATTGCTGCTGCTCTGCTATGGCACAGAAGATGGCAGATCAGGCTGGGAGGCAAGAAGGCCCCTGAATTCACCTTTTGCAATTGCCATCTGATTCTTGCAAGTGGGGTTGACTTGCAACTGTGTGTGGTGAACCCGTTTAGACACTCACCGTTGAAAAGCAGACCCATTCCATGTTCAGTGGTGAGTGTGTGCAGGAGTGGTTTGTCTTTTAGCCGTAAACATGCAACAGGCCCCGGATTACTCCCTAGCGTGGCACCCTGTTTACTTTTGTCATACTCTTAATCACTGTCAGGACTTGTCTTCCTTGCGCATTTGCCACATGTGGTTCCCTTTGTCACTGCATTTCACGCTCCCTCCATTGTCCCCTCCTTGAAAAGTCCTTCCCCACTCACCCCATTTAAAGTCGACCCAGTCTCTGGAGCCCTTCCTCTGTTTTATTGTCTGTAGAATTCTCATGGCCATTCGAGATTGTATTCTGCATTCCTTGTCCCCAACCCTGGAACGTGAGCTCCTCTTCTCTGCCTTATCCTCATACCTGGGACAGTACAGGGCCTGTAACCGGTGCTCCATAACTGCATAATGAGTGAGTGACTCTCCCCTCTGGGGACTCCTGTCACACTTAAAGCCAAACTTTCCCCCATAGCCTCAAGTCCCACCTACATCCACCTCTGCCCCCTCCCCTTCTGTCCTCTCCTTCCATGCCTCCTCCTCACTGCCCTCCAGCTGAGCTGTCTTGAACATTCCGAGCTCTTTCCCACATCTCAGCCTTTGCCCTTGCAATTCCCTCAGCTCTGCAAACTGCCTTCCCTACCTCCTGCCCCCGCCCCATCTGTGCAGAGCTGCCTCTTCCCTCCCTTCCCAGCTCTGCACCAGTGTCTCGGAAGGGTCTTTCCCTGGCCTTGCTGGTTCTACATAAAGTACCCCCTTTCCCACCTGTGCATTTTGTGGAATCTCTGTGCACAGAATCTGGTAGAGTTACAAAAGCAGAGATAGGGGGCTTGGTTGATTTTGCTTTTCAGGGTATTCTGAGAGCAAAGAGGAAAAATACCAACTAAACATCCACAACAGCTGGCCCTCATTTAACCCTTTAACTGTGCTGAGACCTTCCAGCCAGAGGGAAGTGTGTGCACGCTGGAAGGGAGTGTCTCTGAGACACCTCTCAGGAGGGCGAGATGGTGCAGTCTTTTCTGGATGTTCAACTTCTGCCTCTGCTCCAGGGCCGCGTGACTCTGGGTGACTTGCTAGAGCTGTGTGAGCCTCATGCCACTGACTGTGCCCCAGAGATGATGATGGCATTGACATCCTAGCTGGGGGAGGATTAATAAAAGTAGGAAAAACACACTGAGCACTGACCTGTGCCATGCACGCCAGCGTTTGCTTCATGAACATTTTTTTCTTTAATTCTCACAACTAGCTAGTGAAGTGGGGGCTATTATTATTATTGATGTGGAAATCGAGGCTCAGAGAAATAAGTCGACTTCCCCCAGGCTATAGAGCAAGTAAGTACCCTTCTCAGTAGGCTGTATTGAAAGTCAGAATCTATCTCCAGAGCTGGGAACTAGTCACTGCTAGAGTATGGCATGTGGAGCCTCAGCAGCATGCAGGCACACGTTGGGGCCCAGTGAGGCTCAGCTGTGCTGCTTTCATCATGATGGGATTATGATCCTTGTCATGTTCCCCCTATTCCTCTTCATTCCCAGAGTCCTGGCTGTCTGTGCCTCTCAGGCCATGGGGCCTTGCTGTTGTCTTGTGTCTTTTGTGAGTGGTTTCAGCATAGAAGGCTTTTGTCTCTAACATAGTCACCGTCTGTCCATCGACCTTGTCTGCCTCCCCTTGGAGCCTGACACAGCTAGGCTGTGTTGGGGAGGAAGAACTTTTCCTCTACCCTCTTGGTTCTGCTGGCTGGTCTAAGAGTTAAATTGACATGAGACAGACTAATAAGAGAAAATCAAATTTAATGAATTTTGTACATACAGAGACCCCCGTATCCATAGGAGTTCAGAGACAGAAAAGTAAACTGAGGTATTTATGCCATCTCGAGCTAACGATGGGGTAGGGACCTGGGCTTCATTGGGGAGGAGGGTAATTCACAGGATAAGAAGAGCACATGTTCAGGAATTAGGTGCTGCCCTATCGTACAGATAGGTCAGTAAAAGGTTATTTCTGGTAATAGGCAAGCCCCTTAATTTTAATTCCTCAAGGGAGACATAAAAGTTTCTCTTGAGCCTAGTCTCAATTGCCTTCATCTCAAAACACTCCACGTGCCACAGTGGCACATCTGCGACGGCCTTCCCTGAACCCCACCAACTCCCTCCTCTGAAACTTCTTGGAAGTTTCACATATTAAAAGTTGAGCTGGTGACTGTGGAGAGAGAAAACAAATTCGTAGCCAAGTGGTAAGAAATCTGCAAGGGGAGATAAAAACATAGATTAGAATGGGAATGAATAAACAGAGAAGAACAAATTGGAGCATGTCTCCCCCCACCCTGTTAAATCAGTTCCCCAGGCCTGGGAATAGGTCAGTCCAATAAAATGCCTTTGCTTCATTTGTCTGATGGAAAGTGTTAATCTTCTCTTCAATAAATGTAAGTTAGATGCTACTTAAACTGTTTGATTCACATAAAAGCAACATTTTTCACCAGTGATTGCCCAGGTTCCTCCTTGGTGGGCAGTCAGTGTTTCTAGAGCACGGTGATTTTGGCGTAACACAGAGGCTAACCTCTCGACTTCTGACTGGTGTATTTTCAAAGTTTGCATAGTAGTGTTGAACTCTTGTTCCATTATCATGGAGAGATTTAAGATTGCCTTTTCCAGTTCATAATTTCCAAAGCTTGAGAATAAGACCCTTAGTGCTGAAAAGAATTTGGAGTTGTGATACACAAGTGGATTCTGATTTCTCCAGTGGCCTGTGTATGTGGCACGACTTTGTGAACAAAGGAGCCCATGTATGTAAGTTGGCTGGCATTTCGGGTGGAGTATTTGTTGATAGAAGGAGCCAGGTACCCAAGTCCAGTGTCCTGACCATTTAGGTGGGAACTCTTTATATACTTTGTTGCCACATAAAAATACCAGTGTGGTTTATAGACAAGGCTAGAATGAAACCTGTAATTCCCAGGGTCTGGATTATTCCAAGACCTTTGCCATTGCTACTGTTAGTGTCCAAACACCTCCATCTTCCATGTGCACCTGTCAGTCTGCGAGAGCAGAACAGACTGCAAAGTAGCTGGTATAGGAGGCCTGTAGTCTAGTTTTGCCGGCTGTAAAGCTTGGTTCTGTTACCCAGCCAAGTAAATCCAGATTTTTTATCCACCCATATACAATGTGTGATATTGGGAAGCTTAATCGTGGGGACAGCTACAATAGCTCAAGTTGTACAGGGGTGGCCTGTGAGCCGTCCCGGACAGTGGGTGACTTGGCAGATGTTTGTGCCAAAAAGGGTGATGCTGGAGTCACAAATTTCTTGAGAGGTTTGAAGATGCCACCTGTGGAATCAAACCACAGAGTTTGATTGCAGTATTGTCCTGGTATTTCACCCAGGAAAGGTCCAGTGTCTTGTGTGTTTTCAGTGCAAAGGAAAAAGTTTCCACCTATTGTCTTTACCTGGGCGAGGGGCAGTCCGTGACCCTTTGTGAGGTTTTCCAGGGCCTAAATGCCTCACCAGGAGAAGAGGCAGAGTGGTGTTTTTCTTGTTGTGGACACCATATCCTGTCGCTTGTCTGTCTTCCGTCCTTTGCCCACCAGGCGTGCACATCGGCAGGATTGAAGACTAGTTTAGGTTCCTTTGAGCTGTCTAGATGTTGACATAACCAACAGTCAGATTGATTAGTTAACTTGGCCATGGTTTGGTAAATGGCATGGGGGGCGTTTGGTCTGTGCCCGACTTGTTGAAAAAGAGAGGGTTAGAAAGAGCAAGACACAGGTTGATAAAGACCCATAGTGGAGACTTAGAGAGGAGAAACAGCATAGATAGGGAGAGCACTCTCCAGGCAGCCTTCTAATAACTGATTAATAAATGAAAAAAAGGTTCATTAATAAGAAAAGGTAGCTGTTGAGTTTTTGTGTGTGTATGTATGTTAAAAACGGAAATGGGGAGTAGGTGAAAGCAAGGTTTCTTGATCCGCGATTTGGGGGAAAGCTGTCTGCTTTGTGGGGCCAGCTGCTTCTGGGGCCTGGGAATTGGCCCTGGAAATCCTTAGTTGAAGGCCACTTGCGGGGACTGTCTCCCAGTTGTCTTGAGAGTAATGTCCTGGGTCTGTTCTGGCCTTGGCTTGCATGGATCCAGGAAGATTTTCCTTTGTTTTGATGGCAGTGTAGGTGGTCAGTAGGACTT